GGATTACTGGCCATCACGGCACCAAACTACTAGGGGCGGTTTGGGGTCGTGACAACCGGGCCCGCCTCGGGTTGCCCATGGGCCGCGGGCGGGTTTCGCGCCGCCACGGGACGCGGGCCAATTTTACACTCCTATTAATGTGATGTTGTCGTTGACAATGTGAATATTCACATTGACATGTTAACATTCACATTGATAAGAGTATAAAATTGGCCCGCGGCCCATGGGTGGCCAAAAGCCCCCCTCCCGGCGGCCCGGGGCGGACTCGGTCCGGCCCGTTGACAATGTGAATATTCACATTGACATGTTAACATTCACATTGATAGGAGTGTAAAATTAGCCCGCCCCCTTGGCTGCCCGAAACCTGCCTACGGCCGTGGGCTGCCCGGGACGAGCCCGACCCAGCCTGTTAACAATGTGAGTATTCACATTGACATGTTAACATTCACATTGATAAGAGTGTAAAATTGGCCCGCAGCCCGTGGGCGGCCCGAAGCCCGACCGCAGCCCGACCCGTGACATTGTGAATATTCACATTGACATGTTAACATTAACATTGATAGGAGTGTAAAATTTGTCCGCTGCCCGGGGTAGGCCCGGCCCGGCCCGTTGACAATGTGAATATTCACATTGACATGTTAACATGCACATTAATAGGAAAGTAGAATTGGTCCGCGGCCAGTGGGTTGCCCAAAGCCTGCCCACGGCCTGGGGCAGGCTCGTTTGGGTCCGGCTCCGAGCCGGTGGGTCGAGCCTCGGGTCGGGCCGATGGGCCTCGGCCTAGCCTCAGGCTTGGGTCGGGCTTAGGTGGGCCTGGCCATTTTTTTAATTCTTTTTAATTTTTTCTACCAAAATTTTATTATTTTTCACAAAAAAAGACACTAGGCCTCGGACCGAGCCTTGAATGGGCCTTAACCGGGCCGATGGGCCGGGCTGGGCTTCAAAGTGATGGCCCAGGCCCTAGCCTAGGGTCTTGGACTAGGCTCGAGCTTGGGCCCAAAAGAGCCTTTCCCAAGTCGGGTCGGGTCGGGCCAGCCCACGGACCAAAAAATTAGGCCTAGGCCCTAGCCCTGACACAAGGGCATTTGGGCTTTGGATGGGCTGATGGATCGAGCCTCGGGTCGGGTCGGTGGGCCTGGGCCTAGCCTTGAGCTTAGGTCGGGCTTGGACGGGCCTGGCCATTTTTTTTAATTCTTTTTAATTTTTTCCACCAAAATTTTATTATTTTCCACAAAAAAATACATTGCGCCTCGGGCAGGCTGGGCCTCGAACCGAGCCTTGAATGGGCCTTAAGCAAGCTGATGGGCCCGGCCAGGCTTCAAAGTGATGGCCTAGGCCCTAGCCAAGGGTCTCGGACATGCTCGGGCCCGGACCCAAACGAGCCTGCCCCGGGCCGTGGCCGGGGCCCAGGCCCTAGCCTTAGCACAAGGGTATTCGGGCTTTGGACGGGCCGATGGATCGAGCCTCAGGTCGGGCCGGTGGGCTTGGACCTAACCTCGAGCTTAGGTCGGGCTTGGGCGGGCCTGGTCATTTTTTTTAATTCTTTTTAATTTTTTCAATCAAAATTTTATTATTTTCCACAAAAAAAGACATTGCGCCTTGGGCGGGCTGGGCCTCAGACCGAGCCTTGAATGGGCCTTAAGCGGGCTGATGGGCCGGGCCAGGTTTCAAAGTGATGGCCTAGGGTCTCGGACATGCTCGGGCCCGAACCCAAACTAGCCTGCCCCGGGTCGTGGGCGGGCTTCGGGCAGCCCACGAGCCGCAAGCCAATTCTACATTTCTATCAATGTGCATGTTAACATATCAATGTGAATATTCACATCGTCAACGGGCCAGGCCTATCCCGGGCCGCTAGCAAGCTTCAGGTAGCGGGCAAATTTTACACTCCTATCAATGTTAATGTTAACATGTCATGTGAATATTCACATTATCACGGATCGGGCCAAGCCCGCCTCGGACTGCGGTCAGGCTGCGGGCCGCCCATGGGCTACGGGCCAATTTTACACTCTTATTAATGTGAATGTTAACATGCCAATGTGAATATTCACATTGTCAACGGGCCGGGTCGAGCCCGCCCTGGGCAGCTGGCCAATTTTATATTTTTATCAATGTGAATGTTAACATGTCAATGTGAATATTCACATTTTCAACAGGCCGGGCCGGGCCTGCCCCGGGCCCCCCATGGGCCGTGGGCGGCAAGCTTCAGGTAGCGGGCAAATTTTGCACTCCTATCAATGTTAATGTTAACATGTCATGTGAATATTCACATTATCACGGATCGGGCCAAGCCTGCCTCGGACTGCGGTCGGGCTGCGGGCCGCCCACGGGCTACGGGCCAATTTTACGCTCTTATTAATGTAAATGTTAACATGTCAATGTGAATATTCACATTGTCAACGGGCCGGGTCGAGCCCGCCCTGGGCAGCTGGCCAATTTTATATTTTTATCAATGTGAATGTTAACATGTCAATGTGAATATTCACATTGTCAACAGACCGGGCCGGGCCTGCCCCGGGCCCCCCATGGGCCGTGGGCGGGTTTCGAGCAGCCACGAGGCGCGGGCTAATTTTATACTCTTATCAATGTGAATGTTAACATGTCAATGTGAATATTCACATTGTCAACGGGCCGGGGGAGGGTCCGCCCCGGGCCGCGGGCGGGCTTTTGGCCGCCTATGGGCCGCGGGCCAATTTTGTACTCTTATCAATGTGAATGTTAACATGTCAATGTGAATATTCACATTGTCAACGGCCGGACCGGGCCGATCCTGGGCCGCGGGTGGGTTTCACGTCGCCACGGAACACGGGCCAATTTTGCACTCCTATTAATGTGAATGTTAACATATCAATGTGAATATTCACATTGTTAACGGGTCGGGTCCGCCCCAGCCTGACTCGAATTTTTCCGAGCACCCACGAGGATCGACATAGGCCGGGCCCCTACATATTGACGATATGAACATTCACATTGGCAGTGTGAACATTTACATTAGAGGTATTTTGGTAATTATGTCACCCATAGGACTTATTGAAACACAAGAAAATAATGTGAACTAAATAGAATATAAGTAGATGAAAAAGGTATTTTGGTCTTCTTATCTCAAATAGGACCTAATGGAATAATCAAAAAAAATATGAGTTAGATAGAATAAAACTCTTAGAAAGTGGATTTATCAAAAAAATTCCATAAAAATCAACTGTACAAAAATTATGTTATATAGTATTTCTCTTTTTAGTCCAGTTTGAAAATTTCAACACGTCAAACCTTAAAAAATAATTTCTAAGAAACTAATTATGGTAATTTTCTTTGTTATTACACACTCTAGTCCAAAAACTATTTGGCTGTTTCTAATTTTTAATCTTTAAACTTACAAAAAATGAAAATGAGGAAACATAAAAACCAACAAAAACAAAGCATTATCTATTTCATTTCGAGTAACACTAGCCATCATGAAAGAATCATCGTGAAAAGTTTTATGAAAATTCTCAACTTTTTTTTTTTTTTTTTTGATTAGCAAAGAAAAAAGAAACTTTTATTGATGAAATGAGCAAATACAAATTATACAATCAACAAAAACCATCAATAAAAGAAGGAATACAATCAATATGAAAATTCTCAACTCTTGAATTAAATATTTAATAAAACACTAATCAAAGGATTAAAAATCTTCATGAATCATTTCATAATATTTTTTTCATGATCCTTAATATTATTTATTTATAATCTCTAAATTTCCAAACACAAACATTTAGTTGCTGTGAAAATAAGAAAATGCTTGAGACCCCATTTTTTTTAGACCCCCAAACTTAACATCAACACAACAGCTAATACTAAACCTAAATTAATTAGTAAACTTTATGTCATACATTGCTCTAAACTAATAAAATAAAAATTACTGTCCTAATAAGTAATAAAAATCGAATCTATAACAAAAACTTAAAAAGACAAAGTACCCTAACAAACATCAAACCATGCTAAATTTAATTTAAAAATTAAACTTTAAATTTAAAAAAGAAAAGAAAAGAAAAGAGCAACAATGGGATTGATCAAGCCTAAAATTAATCTAAGGGTAGCCTTTGTATCTCTGGTATCGACTCGATCGGTTGTTCCTGAGAGCACAGCAACCGATAGAGTAGAGGATGATGACGAACACGAGAACACCGGCATTGATCATAGCAAGCAGCCTCCTAGAATAAGAGAAGATGGCCAGAATCCCGGCCTTGCACGACTTGCAGTTGTAGCACAACACCGACTGGTCGTTACTCCACGCCGTGCAATCGCTGTCGGGCACTGCTGGGCCCGTTTTCGGGACTGTCCAGAAGGTTGCATTCTTGAACTCCAATCCACAGTAAGATGGCGGCTTGCAGCAACCAGACTGCATAGGAAAAAAGAAAGAAAGAAAAAAATGCAAACCCTAATTGTTACCATAAACAAGTTAAAAAGTACATAAAATTTTGAATTTTTTTTTTTTTGCATTATAAAATTATAAATAAAATTAGACTAGTTTGTAATTGTACGATTTTAGGGAGATTTGATAAATGAATAAGATTTGACGAGTTTGTAAACTATTTGGCAGTTCTCTATCATTATAACTGTATAGTAGTTATTTTATGAACATTTTTATTTTTATTATTAAAAAAAAATCAAAATTTTTGAGTTTGGTGTTTTATGTAAATATAGTGTCTTATCAAATTGTTTGTGAATAATTAATATTGGAAAATGAGTAATTAGTGCTCCCACTAATGATGTGACAATAAGTCCTACTATAAATGATTTGATGTTTTGGTCTTGGTGTTATATTTTTTTTCTTTTTTTATTGAGTGTCATGTCATTAGTGGTCTTTTTAAAAACCTAAAATTACTTTCTTTTTTTATTGAGTGTCATGTCATTAGTGGTCTTTTTAGAGACTTAAAATTAGTAGTCTCTATCATTGTTGATTAATATTTGTGATAATACATACAGACAATCAAATTCCAAGAGAGAACACAAAAAAGAAGGATAGACCATCAATAAATTTTTTTTTTTTTTTTTTTTTTTTTTTTTTTGATCGGCAGTTGACAAAATATTCAAAGAACTACAAATACAGAAAAGAAAAACACGAAAAAAAAAAAAAAAAAAAAAGAGAAGATATATGTGAATATTTTGTGAGATCTACTAATAAAAATTTATTCATATACATACAGTGTCCGATTCTTTCTGTGCTCAACAAAATCGTAACCCTAAAGCAAGAAGAAAGAGTACCTCGGTGGGAGACAAGTTTCTCTTGTCGAAATCAGCAGCAGTTTCATGAGGATTCCCTCCGAGCCTCGAACAAACATGGGCATCAACCAAACAACTCTTAACCTTATCCCAATTCGTCCCATTCACCACATACATCTGCAACCAATTGGAGTAATCCCCGAGCCGGTACTCCTTATACCCTCTCCCCGATACGGCCTTCCCTATCCCCTTATTCGTAACCAATATCGCGAAAACCGAGAAACACATCAATGCAATAATGAACAAGAACATCACAACCAAGTAAATCCATAGCACGAACTGGACGCGACAACACGAGCCGATCAATCCAAACAAGGACACAACAAAGAGAGCCAATCCGATATAGAGAAGAGGCTTTTGGATCACTTTCTGGCAAATTGAGGCTGGGTGGGTTGAGAACCAAATAGAGCCTCCGATGGCGGCGATAGAGATGAGAAGCGTTATTAGATTGAAGAAAGCGATGAAGGTATTGCTCATACGCACCATGATTCAGGAATTTGTGATGACGATGGAGATTTGAAATTGAATTAAAACCCTACCGATCCGATGGAGACGGTGATGGTGTCTGTATCTATATGTATATGTATGATTTTCTCGGAAAATTTAGAGAGAGAGAGAGAGATGGGAGAGAAACGGTGTGTTGTAACTGCTTTTTATATAGAACGAGGACGACAACGTAGCAAGCGCTTGTATATGGATTTCAAATTTTGTATGATTGACCCTCATGTTGTGGTGATTTACGGGAATGCCATTGTCTAGTAGGAGTGAGCATGGTCCATATTGGATAAAATCAGGACCAATCCGTTAACTACGGTTTCTGAAAAATTGGAACCAATTCAATCCGTTTAAATCACAGAACCAATCCGAACTAATCCATTTAAATACGGATTGGATCGGTTTAGGACCACGGATTCACATAATTAAATAACAAAAATATATATATATAACACTTTAATTTTATAAAAATATAAACATAGCGCTATATCAGTTCCATAATAGCAACATATTTTTCTATAATAGTGACATACTGTTCTTAAATTTAAACAACCATAAGAAAATACAAACAAAAGTAATAAAATAAGATATTATACGGTTTTAGGTTTGAGTTTAGATTTTATATAGAATAAGAGAAGATACTATAGGGGAGGATGTATAATAAAAATATAGACTATTTGTATACGGTACGGATCGGTTCTAATCCGGAACCAATCCGTGGACTACGGATTTTTAATTCTTCAATCCGGAATCGAACAGCGGATTCAAAAAACCAATCCAAACCGATCGGATTGGACTGGACTAGATCGGATTACGGATTTCATAGATTCCTTGCTCAGCCCTATTATCTAGTCCAATTAGGACACCAAGGATCCTCTAGAATGTTTTTTTTTTTAAGTTTCCTAAAGTGGTGTATTGTGTGGTTGAGATTTAATGCTGAAAAATTAATGTGACTTGTTATTAAATTTCAACCACACAATGCACTACTCTAAGAAACTTTAAGAAAAAAAAACTCTTCGGATTTTGGGCTTTGCATCCACGTGGGCCTGTCTTGCGGATAATTATTAGTTCGTCTCGAAGCATATCATATCTCACACATTTTAATTTATCATGTCTTTTATATCTTTCAATTATTCAATATAAATTTGTAGGTTCTATTATTTTCACTAATCACGATATTATTGGAGCACTACGTGGTGGTGTCTCAAGAACAACCAATAACTTCTCATGTCTTGTTCACTTAACTTAATATTCCGTTTATTTAGGCGAAAAACATTTTTTATAGATTTTTTTTCTTAAAAAAAATATTTTTTTTGGGTAGTGGAATGAAATGGAGATGGAGGTGGTGCCATTGTGGTGAGATAGTGACAGTGGTGATAGTGACGATGACGGTAGTAGTGGCTGTGGTGATGGTGATGTAATATGAAGGTGAGAGTGATGGTGGTACTATGATGACATTAATAAGAATTTAGTTTGAAAAATATTTGTTGTCTTTTAAAAGTGAAAAAATAGTTTTTGCCCATATAAGCTTGTTTTCTATTGACTATAAAAAATATTTGTATTTGACTTTCGTTTTTCATTATATCAAACACTAGAAAATACGGAAATATTTTCTACCCAAATAAACGAAGCATAAGTTTGGTCAAGATAAAAATGGTGAAAGTGAGTGAAATGGAAAAAAATAATAAATTTTTTCCGAATTTATTTAGCATGAAAGTGGTGAAAGTTATAAGAAAATTATTGTTTTGTACAAATTATGATAGAATGATTACTAAACTTCTAGTTTCTTGTAAAAAATACATAACAATACTAGAAAGTTTAAATTTGTTAATATGAAAAAATATATTTTCTTTTCTTTCACTCCACTTTCTAACACTTTCACTTCTCATTATTTATTTATTTCTAAACAAACGGAACATTAAGGCCAAGTTTAGGGTATGTAAAAAAAGTCAAAAAGTAAAAAAGTTGCTCAAAAAGTTAAAAAGTTAACACTATTAATAAAAAGTCAACAATTACGGCTACACAACTCCCAATCTTAATTTTCCTCTACAAACCAATTTTTACAATTTTTTATTACATATTTTTTCATGAAAAATCAAAAAGTTAACCTAAACATCTATATTTTTCCCCTTAACTTTTTAGTCTAAAAAGACAAAAAGTGAACTTATTTAGAACACCCCAAACAACTCTTAAATATACAAAATTTTTATATAATTTTTTTGGGATAAATAAATTACACTTTTTCACCCTTTAATTTCCGTTTAAATTTTATGGTAGTCATTTATCTTTTAATTATAACAATTAATTTTTAGATTTTAGCCATTGTTTCAATCTAGAAGTGGTCAAGGGATTGCCATGTAAGGATGCTTAAAAGGTGTTAAAGGAAAAAAGTTTACACTTTTCACTCTGTAATTATCATTTAAGGGCGAATTTGCAACATGATTAAAAGTTAATTTTTGACTTTTGAACATATTTTGAGTCACAGTATCTTTTTATTTTTTTACATATATTTTTTTTAAATAAGTCAAAAAAATCTAAAAGTCAACTTTTAACTAACTTCTCAAAACAATTCAAGTTTGAAAATATTATTTGAAAAATGCTATGAGTCTCAAATTTTCTACCAAATAAATGATTAAATGTCTTATATGGGTGTGTGGTCCACAAAATTGCAGACTCCACACCCATGTAAGACAAATTGCGGACCCTACACACATTTGATTATTTATTTGGTAAAAAATTTAGTATCCCTAACATTATTCATATTATTTACACATAAAATTTATGTACAAAACGTACCAAAACTCACATACGGGTGGGTCTCATATAGGTCCCACATGTGTGGGCCCCACCTTCATGTGAGAGTTTCTGTATATCTTGACAACTTTTCTGTGCATGTAACATTGTTGTTTAAATTTTATTTTAGTTATTCACATTTTAATTTTCACTAAAATTTTAAATGGTGGAATAATAGAAGGCCTACATCAAAACTTGGGTTGAAATATGAGGATTTAATTGTTACAATCAAGATGTGAGAGACCAAAATGAAATTAAGTCAAAGTTAATGGATGAAAAAAATGAAATTTAGTTATAAATAATAATAAAAAAATGATGTGATAATGGTGTGCGAATTTTTTGTTTGAGTAATGATTAAGATCCTCACCCCCACAAGATCTTATAAATCTGGATCATTCATGATATAGATCCTATAAATACATGAGCAGGCCCTATACATACATAGCGGGCCAAGATCACTTTAGTAGTGTGGGGGTCATCCCCAAAGGGCCCAATCATTTTCCTTTTTGTTTATATAACATTACTGTTTTAAAATTATGACTTTATCTTTATGTAATGAGTTTTTTAACTTTCAATAAATTGGTATAAATAAGACACATCATTCTATAAAAAAATTTATATATAAATAATTTATATTTATATGGTAAACCAAAAGCCCTGTGTTGGATTTGGATTGTTTGCATTAATTTCATCATTAATATAATGAGGCTTAAAATGATAATAATAGCATCAATGAGTAACCATACAAGTAATTATTTTCAAATATGGAGAAAAAAATAAACATTATTGGGTTATGGTATGCTTGTTTGAACGGACTAAACAAAAGAGGATTGGAATTCACTGGATTATTAGTCTTGGGATACATTGTCCTGGACTATTAGTTGAACTAGATTTATATCACATATTTGTTTAGTCATGGGATTAGATTTCAGGAAAGAACTATTTGGTTGGATAGGATATGAATCCTATATTTGTTTGAAATATTATGGAAAAAGATAAATGCTCAAATGACTATTTTACACTTTTCAATTATTTACTAAGTAATAGCAATATTAAACATATTTTTAATAGCCTGATTTATTTTATTTTATTTTTTACAAAATTAAATAAATTTATTTTTTAAAAATTAAATAAATAAAATATCAATAAAAATATATGTTATTTTTTAATTAAAATTTAATAAAATAATGAAATTAAATAAAACATCTATTAAAATTTAAATAATGAAATTAAATAAAATATAAACAAAATTTTAAAATAAAACATCAATAAAATATCTATAAAAAATTATTTTAAAAAATTAAATAAAATTATTTTATTTTTAAATTGAGACATTTAAATTTTATTGAATTTTACTAAATATAATACATAATTAAATAGTCAAGAATGAAAATGGTCATTCAGCACCTAATCTCATATCCCCTTATCCCTCCATTTGTGTCCCACCCACACCATAAGATACAATAGTCCAATAGATTTGGGACTAATAGTCCATTATAAAAATTTTGAACCAAACAACGGATTATTAGTCTGAATAGACTAATAGTCCAATCCCACCCCTCAATCCCTCAAATCAAACACCACCTATGAGTAAGAATCAAGAAATGTGTATCTGTTATTAAAAAAACACATGAGGGCAAAAACGAAGCAAACCAAAAAAAACATGAAAATTTGTTTTTTGAGATTATAATGCAATCAGTGTACGTGTGTTTTATTAGATTTAGATATAGGTTTAGATGTGTCATTTGTGTACTTCTAATGGAACTCTAACATCACATTTTCGCGTCCTAATAAAACACAAACAGATAGATGTAAGTTTGCATGAATTAATAAGGGTTCGATATTTAAGGGATTTGTATTAAAAGTTTTGAGATCTTGAATTTTATGCCCAAATCAATTTTACTTTTGCTCTTATCATAAAAAGTCTCTGACCTGGACTCTTTTATTTTTCTTTTTTAACAACAACAAATGAAGGTTTATTTATTTATTTATTTAGATTGGATCAAATGAAGGTTATATACTATATAATTTAGAGTAAATTAGTAATAAAGACCAGGCCCAGCCCTGAGGGCAGGCCAAAGAGGCCTGCGCCTTGGGTCCCAGATTTGGGCTAAAAATAGGGTCCCAAAATATGATTTTGTGTTTTAGATATAAAAAAAAAAAATCCACATATTATAAACCCAATTGAACATAAGGCCAAAAAAATATATATATATCATAATAGAGGCCCAGTGAACATGGGCCCAAAAACAAAAAACACATCATAATATACCCACGTGAGAAGAATGAATTCACATGGGTCACTTAAAGAAACACATCTCTGTCTCTCGAATTGGACTGCTCTCTCTCTTGCATTAGACTGATGAAGATGAAACCGTGTGAGTCTTCAGTCCTATCCTCTCCTCCATATTTGACGGACGTTGAGCATTAACGATTTTGGGTATCAAAACCGTGACTCTCTCTCTCTCTCTCTCTATATATATATATATATATCACATTTAAATGGAAGAAGTTTTTGCCCTAATTTTTTTCCTAATTTTTCCCTTAATTTCTTGCCCTATATAATTTGTTCTTTAAATTAGAAAATTACCTAATTTATATGCTTTAGTGAAAGTCTATAATTTTTGTTATGCTCTAATTCTGAAAGTATATTATTTGCAGAGATCAGTGATTGTGAATTTGTGTGGATTTGTGATTATATAGAGTAGTCATGCCTCCTAGGAAGTATATTTCTGGATGTGAAAAAAGAAAAAAGAAGCAAAAATTAAAAAAATTTATTCAATCTCAATCAGAAGCGTTTGATAAATTTTTTGGTAGCAAGAAACAAATAGAAAATTCATGTTTGGTTGATGAAGATTTGGTAATTGAAGAACTTAATCAATGTAATGAGAATGATAATGAAGATTTGGGTGTTGAAGAGCCTATTGAATGTTTGAATGAGAATGACAATGAAGATTTGGTGAATGAGAAAGCCACTAAAAGTGAAGATTTTAATACTGAATATGGACCTTTAAATATTAATGACCCAAGTAATTGGGGCAAGATTGATCAGAATTTCAGAGATTTATTAGTTAAAAGAGGCCCTATAAGAAGTAATATTGTCCATTTTCCAAGAGATGACAAGGATAGACATTTCTCCTCTACATATTACATTCGAAATTTATCAAATGAAGAGAAGCAAGATAAGAAATGGCTAGTATATTCAGATGCTTCAAACAAAGTATTTTGCTTTTGTTGTAAGTTGTTTAAGGAAGATGGGAACAAGACTCAGTTGGCTACTAATGGATTTAAAGATTGGAAGAATCTAGGTCACAGGCTTAGAAGTCATGAAACTAGCAATAAGCACATTACTTGTATAAGCAAATGAATTGAATTGGAAAAAAGATTGTAAAAGAATGAAACAATTGATAAATGTGTTCAAGAACAAATCAATAGGGAGAGAGAACATTGGAAAAAGGTGTTACTAAGGATAATTGCTGTTGTGAGAACTCTTTCTAAAAATAATTTAGCGTTTCATGGAGACAATGAGAAGATTTATCAAGAAAGAAATGGAAACTTTTTAAGTTTAATTGAAATGATTGCTCAATTTGATTCGGTAATGCAAGACCACCTTCATCGCATTGAAAGGAATGAAATTCATTACCATTATCTTGGTCACAAAATCCAAAATAAATTGATATAGATGTTAGCGGGTGAGATCAAAAGTACAATTGTGAAAAGAATCAAAGAAGTGAAATATTTTTCAGTTATTCTTGATTGTACTCCAGATGTTAGTCATGAAGAACAAATGTCTCTTGTAATAAGATACGTGGATGTTTCAGCTAATCAAGTAAAGGTGGAAGAGTTTTTTTTAGAATTTTTAAAGGTGGATGACACATCAGGATTGGGTCTTTTTAATGTACTTAAAGAGGTATTGTACACACTCCAACTTGATATTGGTGATATAAGAGGGCACGGATATGATAATGACTCTAACATGAAAGGGAAACACAAAGGTGTACAGAAAAAGCTACTTGAAATAAATCCTACAGTATTCTACACACCATGTGGTTGTCATAGTCTTAACCTTGCACTTTGTGATATGGCTAACTCTTGTCCCAAAGCTATCTCTTTTTTTGGAGTGTTACAATGTATATATTTATTGTTTTTATCTTCTACAAAGCGGTGGAAAGTTTTCAAAGATCATGTGGAATGTCTTACATTGAAGCCATTGTCACAAACAAGGTGGGAAAGTCGCGTTGAAAATGTTAAAGCAATAAGATATCAAGCTCCACAAATAAGAGATGCTTTAAATCATTTGGAAAATCTTGGTGAACCCCACAATACAAAGAGTGAAGCTGAGTCTTTAGCAATATATGAAATTGAGAATTTTGAATTTTTGCTTGGCATGATTATTTGGCACAATTTATTGTTTGGAGTTAACTCAGTTAGCAAAATATTTCAAAGGGAAGACATGCATATTGATGTTGTTATAATTCAATTAAAATGACTCATTACCTTTCTTAAAAAGTATAGAGAAACTGGATTTTTGGATGCCATGATTGAGGCAAAAAAAGTTGCTACTCTAATGGAAATTGATCCAGTATTTCGTGAAAAGCGTGTCATTCGTATAAAGAAGCAATTTGATGAGAATGTTAGTGAAGAGGTGACACAAACTATTGAAGAATCTTTTAGAGTTAATTACTTTATGTATATAATTGATTAAGCTCTTTCTTCACTTAAGAGTAGGTTTGAACAATTTCAAGTCTATGAGGAAAATTTTGGATTTTTGTTTGATTTGAAAAAGTTGAGTTCTACCAACAAGGAATGTTTGAAGAGTTATTGTGTTAATCTTAAAGATTTTCTGAAACATGATGAACTTTCTGATATTGATGGAAGAGATCTATTTTCAGAGTTGAATGTCTTGAAAAAAGTTTTACCGGAAGGAATCAAAAGGCCAATTAAAGTATTAAATTATCTGAAAACAATGGATGGTTGTTTCCCAAAGGCATGGATTGTGTATAGAATTTTGTTAACTATAGCTGTTACAGTGGCCTCTGGAGAAAGAAGTTTTTCAAAGTCGAAGTTAATCAAATCCTACATTCGGTCAACTATGTCACAAGAAAGATTGAATGGGTTAGTTTTTTTATCCATTGAAAATGATATGGTGGATAAATTCGATTATGCAAGCTTCATTAGTGATTTTACAACTAAAAATGTTAGAAGAGTAATGTTTATGAGATAGTTGGTTCAATTGTCACTACAAGAAAAAGCATTTTTGCCGACCACTTTTAGCTACCAAAACTAATTTAGTTGCCAAAAGTCACGGAATTGGCTACCAAAAATAATATTAGTCGGCAAAAGTCAACTTTTTAGCTACTAATTTTTTTTAGTAGGGGAATGTTGATTATTGGCTACTAAAAAAAATTTAGTAGCTAAAGATATTACAATTGGCGACTCAAACAATTTTTAGTAGCTAAACATATGACAATTGGCGACTAAATAAAAATTTAGTAGCCGTAGAGGTACCTTTAGCTACTAAATTGTTTGGTAGCCGAATGAAAAAAAAAAATTAATTTTTAATCTTTCCCGACCACACTTTTGGTCGCCAAATGTCAAGTTTCGGTGACAAAATTTCCTTTAGTCGCTGTATACCTACTTTCGGCTACTAAATTGTTTGGTAGCCGAATGAAAATAAAAAAAATTAATTTTTAATCTTTCCCGACTAAACTTTTGGTCGCCAAATGTCAAGTTTCGGTGACAAAATTTCCTTGAGTCGCTGTATACCTACTTTCGGCTACTAAATTGTTTGGTAGCCGAATGAAAAAAAAAATTAATTTTTAATCTTTCCCGAACAAACTTTTGGTCGCCAAATGTCAAGTTTCGGCGACAAAATTTCTTTTAGTCGCTGTATACCTACTTTCGGCTACTAAATTGTTTGGTAGCCGAATGAAAATAAGAAAATTAATTATTTTTATTTTTATTTTTATTAAGAGGTTGTACACCCACCATCCAAAAATATTAATATCTTATTTTTTTTATTATCTCAAAATATTAATTTTTTTAAAAAATTAATATTTTTAGATAATAAAAAATAAAATAAGATATTAATAATTTTGGATGGTGGGTGCACAACCTAAAAATAAAAATAAAAACAAAAATAAAAATAACTATTTTGTTTAGTCAAATTTTCAAGCGGAGACTAATGGTATTGTTATTAATAAAATAAAATAACTATTTTATTTAGTCAAATTTTCAAGTGAAGACTAATGGTATTGTTATTAATAAAATAAAATAACTATTTTATTTAGTCAAATTTTCAAGTGAAGACTAATGGTATTGTTATTAATAAAATAAAATAACTATTTTATTTAGTCAAATTTTCAAGTGAAGACTAATGGTATTGTTATTAATAAAATAAAATAACTATTTTATTTAGTCAAATTTTCAAGTGAAGACTAATGGTATTGTTATTAATAAAATAAAATAACTATTTTATTTAGTCAAATTTTCAAGTGAAGACTAATGGTATTGTTATTAATAAAATAAAATAACTATTTTATTTAGTCAAATTTTCAAGTGAAGACTAATGGTATTGTTATTAATAAAATAAAATAACTATTTTATTTAGTCAAATTTTCAAGTGAAGACTAATGGTATTGTTATTAATAAAATAAAATAACTATTTTATTTAGTCAAATTTTCAAGTGAAGACTAATGGTATTGTTATTAATAAAATAAAATAACTATTTTATTTAGTCAAATTTTCAAGTGAAGACTAATGGTATTGTTATTAATAAAATAAAATAACTATTTTATTTAGTCAAATTTTCAAGTGAAGACTAATGGTATTGTTATTAATAAAATAAAATAACTATTTTGTTAATTTTTTTATTTTCATTCGGCTACCAAACAATTTAGTAGCCGAAAGTACGTATACAGCGACTAAAAGAAATTTTGTCGCCGAAACTTGACATTTGGCGAC